GCGCCCCGACCGGGATGACCACGTCTCCATCATCCGGGAGAACATCCAGCCAGGTAGGGATGAGCCTCCCTCCTCCTCCTCCTCCTCCTCCTCCTCCTCATCATCATCATCATCATCATCATCATCATCATCATCGCTGCCACGGGGTGCTGGCGGAGTTGGGGTCCCCCCTGAGTGTATCCCCGTCCTGTTTTCCCAGGGCAGGAATACAACTTCCTGAAGATGGAGCCGGAGGAGGTGGAGTCGCTGGGGGAGACTTATGACTTCGACAGCATCATGCACTACGCCAGGAACACCTTCTCCAGGTACCTGCCCGGGGGGGCTCAGCCTTGTGTCTGTCCCCTCATGTCCTGGGGACAGTGTCACAGCATCCCAGGCCCAGGGGACGGTCAGCAGCTCTCACAGGGTTAATTCCCTCAGAGCAAGGATGAGGCCCTGCAGTGTCCCATTCCAGAGCAGGGAATTGTCCCCGCAGTCACCTCCACTGGGGACACGTCCCCTCTGACTCACCGGGCCCGCAGGCTTTAATTAGCCGGGCTGCTTTTAATTAGCCGGGCTGCTTTTAGCATCCTTCCTCTCGGGGAGCGGCCGCAGGGCCGGGGATTCCCACCCGGCTCAGCCTCCTGCTGTCCCAGGGGCATCTTCCTGGACACCATCCTGCCCAAGTACGACGTGAACGGCGTCCGGCCGGCCATCGGCCAGAGGACACGGCTCAGCAAAGGGGACATCGCCCAGGCCCGCAAGCTCTACCGCTGCCCAGGTGAGTGACCCCTGCCCAGGTGACCGTCCCCTGCCCAGGTGACCGTCCCCTGCCCAGGGGAGTGTCCCCTGCCCTGTCACTGCCGGGGGGGGAGCACGCCTGGGGGTGTATCTCTCAGAAACTGCTCTGCTTCGCCCCAAAACTTGCCAAAGGTGGCATCAGCCTGGGTGGATTCTCTCTTTCTGGTTGATTTTTGGGGTCCTTCCTGCCCTGTGAGGAGCACACAAGGTGCCTTTTGCCATCCGTGGCATTTTTGGGGGGGTTGTGAGCAGAATTTGGATGCAAGAGCTCGGTGAGCCCCGGGGCTCTGCTCATGAGAGCAGAGGTGTCCTCGGCTGCCCTCTCCTGCTGCTCCTCTGAGAAAAGGGCATCTCCCCAGAGCATTCCCCTAAAAATATCCCCCAGGGAGCATCCCCTGCAAAAAAAATCCTCAAAAGAGTGTCCCCCCCAGAGCATCCTCCAAGAGAATCCCTCAAAGAGCATCCCTCCAAAAAATCCTCTCTAGACCGTCCTCCAAGAACATCCCTCAAAAGAGCATCTCCCAAAAGCACCCCCTAAAGAGTATCCCCCCCAGAGTATTCCCCTAAAAAAAAGTCCCCCAAAGGGTGATCTCCCTGAAGAGAATCCTCCAAGGACATCCCCAAGAGCATCCCCCAAAAAATCCTCGGAAGAGCTTCTCCCCCCCAGAGCATCCCCCCCAAGAGCATCCTTCAAGAGAAGAGCATCCCCCCAGAGAATCTTCCAAGATCATCTCCTCCAAAAATCATCCTCCAAAAGGCACCTCTCCAAAAACATCCTCCAAAGAGCACCTCCCCCCAAAAAATCCTCCAAAGACCACCCCTCCACAAAGAGCATCCTCCAAGAGAAGAGCATCCCCCCCCTCCCCAAAAAAACCCCCTGAGAGCATCCCTGAAGAGCAGAGCACCCCCTGAGAGCACCCCCTGACCACGCAGCACCCTCTGGGAGCAAACCCTCCTCCGAGACCCTCCTCCATCCCACCCCAGCATCCAGCACAAGGCGTTGGCACCTTGAAGGGCACCATCGCCCCGGGCACGGTGGGGAGGGGGCTGGC